CCTCCACTATCTCCATTTTGGAATGGGAATGTCCATCCTATCCTATTCTCCATTATATTTTGGAAAAAGATCATTTGTTTCTCAGCTTCAAAATCCTGTGAATGAAGAAGAATTTTGCCCCATAACAGACTATAAGAGTAAGACAGAGTCTTACTCATAACTGATTTAAATGATGACATGTAAGGACTTTTAAGTTGACATTTAAATATTCTGGATATAGATTTGATGCTGGAATGGCTTAAGGCTTTTGAGGATGCTGGTATGAGGTGAATATATTTTGCACGTGGAATTAACATGATTGGGAGGAATAGAAGGCATACTATTGAGGAAAGATTGCGTCCCACCCCAAAAATAATGTTTAAATCCCACCCCCGGTAAATATGTGACAATGTTTGTAAATATGGTCTTTGAAGAAGTAAGAACATTGAAATGAGGTATAGTGGTTCAAGATTGTTTCTATTCAAACAATTTCTCTCTATAAAAAGAGAGAAACTTGTATAGAGAAACATACAGGGAAAGTGATGGTAAAGACATACAGGAGGAAGACCATCTAATGACAGAGGTAGAGATTAGAGAGTGATCCATCTATGAGTTAAAGAACCCAAAGATTGTGTAGAGAACCTAGGAGAGAGATATGAAATAGAGTCAGCCCCAGAGACTCTTGCAGGACCTAGTCCCCAACTTCATTTCAGCTTCCCAAACTGTAAGACAATAAATCTCTGTTGCTTTAAGTTATTCAGTATATGGTACTTTATAATTAAAAGCCTGGTAAACTAATATAAATACCAAATGCTGCTACTGCAAGAAGTTAAGGATGGAAAATGACTAATTGGCTTAATATGCAGATAAGTAATAGAAAAGTGCATTGATAGACCAGTATTAAGTATTCCATACTTTAAAATGACATCATGCAGTGAAGAAGTAGAAATATTGAATTTAAATCTAGGGATAGAAGAAGTTGAATAAAAGGAATAAACATAGCTACTAAAAGGGGATATGAGCAAGAAAGTATATTTTAATGTTGATTATTAGATATGTCAATATTAAAGGGAAAGGTGAAAATGAATAAGATGTTGAAGATAAAGAAAAGAAATTGTTAAAAGATAAAATAATGTGTTTTAGAAAGAGAAATGGCTGCTAGGCGTGGTGGCATATGACTGTAATCCCAGTGACTCAAGAGGCAGAGTCAAGAGGATCACAAGTTCAAAGTCAGCAACTTAGCAAGACCCTGTCTCAAAATAAAAATAAATAAAAAGGGCTGGGGTTTTGACTCAGTAATTAAATATCCCTGGGTACCAAAGAAAGTACCAAAGAAAGAAAAGAGAAATGACTATCGCTGGGATAATAAAAAATGATGAAAATGGATGAAATACACAGAAAAGTTAAAATTCTTGGCTAATGGTTTTTAGCTTCGTCAGATAAATTGGAAACAACATCATTTGCTGAGTGTTAAGAAGAAAGAAGTTAGAGAAGGAAGAGATTTGACAAATAGATGGATATTTTCGAAATGGAAACTGATTATACACATGGAGAGGTATCTGACAGAAAGCAAGAATTTTTAAGAAGCAAGCACCTGTCTACACAATTAAGTGGAGATATATTGACTGATTGATTGCAATCAATATTTAGGAACTTGATTACAGGACCCCAAACCCAAAATGTGAAACTGACTCAATGTAATTGCAAAGCAACTGTGATGAAAAACATCAAGGAAAAATGTATAAATCAGGGGTCAAAGTACTGAAATTGATAAGAAGGGGAAATTTTTCAAAATGGGAAAAACTGAACATATTAAAGTGAAAACTGTCAAACAGAAGTTCATTGTCAAAGACATAAATATTAAATTTAGACAAGCTCTTCTGCCCCAAAATAACTCCTTCACTAGCTAGCCAGCAACATTATCTGAAATTCTATCCTATTATACTTATTTTGGTGAGGGCTGTTAAAATAAAAAAAATAAAGTATGAAATATATGGCACTAAGTTCAAGCTGCTAGAGAGGAAAGAATAATTAATGCATGACAAATGTCTATTATCTTATTATAAGTTGTTAAACAGTTGGAAAAACATTGCCATTATACATTCTAAGCAAAATCATAGATAGCAAATGAAATTTGGAAGAATTATAATATCTTTAAAAATATATATACTAACCATTATTTTGAGAAATGAAAGAAAGGTAATAGTTATTCTTTTTAAAAGTGAGCACACACATTTATTTTTAACCAGCCTGGTTATACAGTCCTGACTATATGATGAAATTTGAATGATATCCTTTTAATAACTAAGAGTATTGTGATTGTAATTTCAAAAGTCATTTTATGCATATTCCCCAGAGAAAACCAGTTCTATATTGCAAGAAAGCCTAGAAAGAAAGAAGTATAATCTTTTAAATATAGTACTTCATAATAAAATGCATTCATACTTCTTGATCATTGGGGATATATGTATATATAGTGAGTATTCACAAAAACAGAATCATAATTTGGATGATACTTATGCAATTAAACTAACTTACTATTAGGTAAAATCTACTACCATCTTCTACCAAGGGATCTACCAACCTTAACTTCTTTTCCTGCTGTCTTGTACATTAGCATAAGTACATATTCACTCTCCCAGGTTTTAAACACTAGAGTGTAAGTTCCTGTTTAGAAAGTGAGCTTTGAATCATTAACATTTTCTCTGCTCTTCTGCTTCTTCCTTTACTGGTCCAAGTCTAATACTTTTGGAGTTCTTATGGTAAAAGAACGAGGAGGAGGAAAAATGAAGGAAACAGCTGAGTGAACTCAAATAAGACCAGAATTCAGAATCTGGAGCTACAATGGGCAGATTGTTCACCAAATTCTCTTACTCAAGAAACCTCATTATTAGCCCTAAACTTATCAACCTCAATTTTCAAGGTATACACTTCTGATACTTTTGTCTTTCTTTTTGGAACTTTACAAAGAAATTTATTAAGAGAAGCTGAGAATTCAGAATCAGATGGACACAGTACTGGATTAACTTTCTCATTTTTTTCTCTGTATTTTCTTATTCCTATTTCTGCATCTGCTTTAATGGCAAAAATACTGCTATACTCCATGAGGAGAGAGTTCATACCTAACTGCTTTGTTGCCATGTTCCCAGTACCTGGCACAATACCAAGAAGTATACTCAATACACATCTGAGAATTGATAGACAGGAAGGAATACTGATGAACTTATTGAGATCCAGAGAGATTCTAAGACAGATCAAAGAAGGAAAGATGTTTTGAATCCTCCAGACCCCTCATTTGGAAAGGAAAAAGACTTTTAAAACTCTTTTTATTGAATCTGCTTCTGACTCCATCATTATCATTTGTTTTATTTCATTTAGGAGGGGGGTCATATCACCTATACTATTCTATAAGCATAATATAGATAGAATTGCAGACTTATAATATTTTATTGTATTAGAAATAAAGTTAAAGTGCAAAATGGTTGTATTTTTACACAAGATAAGTAATTTTACAACTTTAAATTTTTAATCAAAATAAGCTTAATTACCAAACTACCATATAACCTATTTCATAATCTTGATAAGTGGTGTGTCATACAGAGTATTTCTAAAATACTCCTTCTTGTACCATTAGAGAAGGAAGAAACTTTCATTTGTCACTCAAATAATTTCTAGAGGTTGAATTAGGAAGAAAGAAGCCATCTGCCTTTCAAAATAAAATGATTTAATTTAGAATTAGTAATCAGGAAGTATGAAGTCTTTATTAGCTTTATCTATGATTCAGCACATATTTTCACAGGCTTCTCTGAGAAGAAATAGGAAATAATAACGTGATAATGATCATGTTTAGCATGCATTTATTGTGAAGCAGGGTTTTCTCAGTGTAATGGTTTTCAGATTGCCTCAGACATTTCTATACACTACACTTTTGGTCACAAAAATTGTAAGAAGGAAAACTCTATTCATTTACCTTAAGTACATTTTGCATAGCAATCACAGCAAGGTTTTTGAAGAATATGTTCTAACTTAGAAAAAGTAAGAATGCAGAATGTCTTCCAATCATAAATGCTACTTACTGTTCAGATCCATTTCATCTGAAAATGTTCAGAAGCAATGCAGGTTGATAAATAGAAGGAAGGATACTTAATATTTATTGGGGTCTTCTTCTTACCTTGTTTTGTTGAAGGCTGTTGAAATTCCTAATCCAAAATTATGCTGTAAATTAAATTTGTAAATAATCTTTACTTTCGAGTAAAGAAGCTGAGACACAAAGAGAGTGGTGTGTGGAAGATGGTTAAGAATATGTTTAACCCCTTATGATGCATCCCTATACACACACTAAGAAACTAATGAAGGAGGGTTTCTCACTAGAACATCCTGTAAAGTTGCCTGTGAGATCAGTCTAAGCACAAACTACTTCTCCAGTGTGCCCTCCACAAAGAACTAGCTCACCTGCTCTCAGCCAGAGCTCTTGAGTCGCCCCCTTGGTCTGCCTGGGAAACTTTATTGTTGCTGGTCCTCAGGTTCAAACCCTTAAAACCAAAGCAACAAATGTCTGGAACCACATTAAAAAATTTTTTTTTTTTGTATGCATTTACATTGCCTATGTGATACAGTTCGACCCAAATCGTCCTTGTATTTCAAGAAAACTTAAATCTTGGGATTTCTGGTTTACCCTCCGTGTCAGAATCCCATCCCAGAAGAAACCATTGTTTCTCTCAGCCTGAAGGCAATGAGTGGACAGAACTGATTTCAGGTGACTGTAGAAGGTAAATAGAGGGGCGGGGAAACCCATCGAAAGAGGAAGGGGGAATCTAAGACAAGGAAATGTAAACCCAGGAGCAGAATGTTGAATGAAACTCCAAAGGCCACTGAAACAAAAGAAAGTTGCAACTCCCAGTGCCCCCAGCCTGCAGCAGGTCACACCCATGCACATCTTTTCGGAAAGATCACGTGGGATCCTGCCTTTGCCTCACGGGTAAATGGTTAGTTGATTTAGAAAAATACGTCCCACAGTAAACGTCTGAGAGCGGGTACATCAGCAAAATCCTGGGAGTTAAAGGAAGGAAAGCAACATTTGAAAGATTTTAATGATAGTTGATATAATGCAGCCCTTTCTTGTGCGCGCATCAGCCCTCCACGGTTCAGCTGTCTGGCAAATGAATGAAATCCAAAGGGCGGGATGGAGAAAAGGAGCGCAATCGTAGAGCGGGAGAAGGGGTTCGTCAGCTCTGCTGCCCCCACAACGTCACCGAAGAGACTATAAAGCGCGCCTGCAGCTCAGGATTCTCAGTTCTCCAGCCTATGCCCAGAGATCCGCCAGGGCGGGATCTGAGTTCCCCACTGGGTACAGTCCCAAATTGTTTCTTTCGCATCTTGTCCTTCCCGCCTCCCAGGACTGCAAACTCCTCAGAGGAAGTGCGACTCTTGCTCCCCTTTAAAGGCTGGACCAAAGCATCCCTTAACCAGCAAGAGCTAGGTACTTTGTCTACTCGCTTCCCAGGCGGGACTAACGACCGCCGGACACGACAGTGACCAGGAGGCAAAGAACAACTTTAAGGGAGTGGGCTAGGGCTGGCAGCGGGGCGAGGTCTCAGGCTACAGACCTGAGGCCATGGCCTCTCTCCCAGCAGCAGAGAACTGGACAGACTACCCGGGAGGAGTCGATGTGGACTCCGGGAACCTGAGTGCTGCTCTCGGAGTCGGAGCGGCGGCAGGGACAGCGGAGACTGAATGGCTGCGTTTGCTAGTGCAAGGTGGCAACTTCTCCTCTTCCTCCGAGCTGGGACTGCCTGAGGCTTCGCCCGCGTCCTCCCAGCCCCGGGCCAACCTCACTAACCAGTTCGTGCAGCCGTCCTGGCGCATCGCTCTCTGGTCCCTGGCATATGGAGTGGTGGTGGCAGTGGCGGTCTTTGGAAATCTCATTGTCATCTGGATCATCCTGGCCCACAAACGCATGAGGACCGTCACCAACTATTTCCTCGTGAACCTAGCTTTTTCTGACGCCTCCATGGCAGCTTTTAACGCGTTGGTCAACTTTATCTACGCGCTTCATAGCGAGTGGTACTTCGGCGCCAACTACTGCCGCTTCCAGAACTTCTTTCCTATCACAGCTGTATTCGCCAGCATCTATTCTATGACGGCCATTGCAGTGGACAGGTGAGGGGAAGAGGGGGAGGAAGGAGGAAGGAGAGAGAACTAGGCTGCGAGATAAAGTTACAAAAGAAATGATGACTTAGTGGGGGTCTTCGAAAGTAAAGGAACTAAGAGTTTTTGGAGAGAGTCCAGTGGCTGAATCAGTGTCTGGTTCCGTGGCCTCCTCCCACTCAAGCCTTAACTCTTTGAGGGCATCGGAGAGGGACTGAAGAGGGCAAAGCAAAGTGATGTAAAAAAGAAATAATAAAAAAAAATAAAAAATTCTTTCCTTCTGAGTAGGACCATTTAGCTAGAAACATTAAATGATGCCAAATTTATTCAAATGACTTTAAACAATTGCCTGAACTTTAGGTTCACAGTAAAATGTTTTTTGTTGTTGTTGTTGTTGTTGTTGTTGTTGCTGTTTTTGTTTAACATGTTTTGTCTTCTTTTTCTTTCTGTTGGTCACTATCCTGGCTGATAAATGAGGAGTTACCCACCGACCTCCCCTCCTTTCTCTGGTCTGCTGGACCTCATTCACAGGGTCCTCCCCACTCCCTAACTTTTGGCAGAGGCAGCAAGTTCCCTCCAACTGCCAAGCTGACAGTTCCCATCATGTCTCTGTTAGCTTTAATTTCCAATAATTTGTGAAGATCATAAACTGGATAAACCCTGTGCCTGGAAGTGTGTAACAATCATTCAGAAGATGGGGAACATTAATTCATCCCAAGGATTAAGCTGTTTAAAAATGAGACACACTACAGATGTTTAATTTTTTTTTTCAGAATGAACCTCTATTACAGTAGGAATTCTGAGATGTGTGAGCAGTTAAAAGAAGCTGAATGACCCTCAAACACTTGTTCCAGTATTCTGATTTCTAAAAATCCTGCATGCATCTAATTTACTTTCTTATATTGAACAGTGTGAAATGTACACACTTGTGAAAACACAATGGTGAATCTACCTGTTATTGAAAGCTAGATATATTTTAATTCAATATTAAGTAGAAACAAACCACACCAGTGGATTCCAGGGCTGGCTTTGTGATTGACTACTAAATGAAAGATGCAGAGGGATGATGTCACTTTAATGTCTCAATGTTCTAATCTGTGAAAAGAAAAAAGAACTTTTTTTATATTAACAAAACTTTTTCAAAGTAAAATGAGGCTAAATACTAATTGTTACTGTGTTCAGCTGCCATTATGAGAAAAAAAAAAAACTTTTAAAAAGTCAAATGTTTTTTCCTCGAGTTTATCCTCTATGCTTACTATTTTGAAATGGCAAGCACAGTGGTATTAATAACATAGATCTATAGAAACTATTCTCACATACCAGGCCCAAAAGGTTAAGTTGAAAAAGCAGTTATTACATTCACTAGGATAAACACAAAGTAACACTTTTTAAAAGCCTTAGAACTTGTACTTTCCCTTTCTCCTAACCTCTGATCTTCCACACACTTTCACCCTTTCATTTCTGGATAGAAGTGAATGTAAAAAATGAACAAAGTCAGCTCTAAGTTGGGACAGGTGAAAATGTCTCCTGTCTTGCTCCACCAATATAGAAGTGAATATTCTTTGAGTTTGTACATCTTTTATATTTTTTAAAAAATTATCTTAAGTATTTGCTTTTTAAATATTGTGATCAGAGGAGAGGTGTTAGCATATAATTTTATAAAATGCTCACAATCTTCTTGAAGTGGTAATGAGGCAATATAAAATTTGATGGAAATTTTAGTGCATGTGAAGTTGTCATTTCAGTTCTAAGGGGAAAAAACAGGTTATTTTTCCAATTTCTTCCTGTCAACATTTCCAAAATGGTTATTTTAACCGATAACATAATGCTGTTTGATTACACTCACTGGTTTGAGATTAATGTGAACTTTGCTATTTATTCTTTTCTCCTTCTTATATCACTACAACTATACAAAATTTATACAGTACAATTTGCTATAAAATCTGAAATATACTTGGTTTGTATACAGAAAATATTCTTTAAATGTTCTTATTTCAGCAGACAGTAGCTAAAAAGAAATACAGAAGTTGAGAAAACTCTGATTATGATAATTTCTGGACTCAAAGACTGTGTAAATATTACAGGTGTTAAAACTCTCAATAATTTACCAGTCCATGGAACGTTTCTGCATTGATGCCTTATCAAATATGGATTGGCAAAGCTGACCCTTTGAGATTTTCAATCATTTTATAGATTACAGTTTGCAAGATAAATCCTTCTGGGGTTATGTGAGTCTTGCCTTTGTTTACGGTTGCATAGCCTAACTGCCTCATGAGCTGAGGACATATTTAGGATATGCTCATAGAAATTAGTACCTTATTGAAATAACTGTAAATACTGAATAATCCTTAATTGATTCTCATTAATAAAGAAATACATCATTTAGATCATGGTGTCAAAGTTAGGCTTGAAAAGGTTTATGAAGACCTGTATTCTACAAATGGAGAATTTTAAGCTAATGGTCACACGTTTGTCATAATAAAATGCACTGGGTTTTCTGTGAAATGTTTAGCACTCATTTGCACCTGAATGGTTTGCTTTTTATTTTTACTTTGTAAATAATTCTACTAAAAATTTGAGTGTGAGGGCACAGGTTCAACTCCTCTGAAGAATGGTATCTACTGCTTTGTTACAAATTCCAGTGTTCTTACTGGTCAAGAATCTTTCAGTCCTTCTTGCCTGGAAGGCCACTTCATCACCATCACCATGCCCCTGCCCACACAAACAAACATGGTAGAATTATTTACCAATGAAAAGTTGCTTTTCTCTCTGCTGTCCTTCCCAAACTTGCCACTTTGAAACATAGCATTTGGAAATAAGACTTATCTAAGAGATGCCAAGCTTTCCAAAGATCATGAAGTTAAACTAAGATTCAATCACAGCACTCTGCTCTAGGAACGACAGTAGTCTTCACACCTGCATTATTACATTACTAGTTGTGAAGTCTGTATTTGACTGGACAAAGTCAGCATCTTCAAGAAAATTAGATATAACATTTGTTTATACCATGTATCTTTAATTCATTGTTGCTTCCTGGTATACCTTTAGAGAGAGATTTGATATGCTTTATCTAATAGATCCAAAGTACTAACAAAGATAGCGAAAAAAAAAATATGTCTTTAAAACCCAGAGACATACCTGGCATGAATAATTATTAAAAGGAATATGTAGTTGAACTAATATATAGTTGAACATAAAGGAATATTTTTAGTCAAAGAAATAAAAATGTATATTATATGCTACTACTCTTCTAAATTTCTTTCATCTTCAATTTTGCTCTTTTTTATAAATCTAATTTGTACAAATTATTCATTGAACCTCTATGAAGTGCTTTCAAATTTGATTATGAAGAAATAATATTATACAGTCATAAAAATTTGTGAGGTTTTGATCTGGCAACAGATTATCTAAATGTATTATGGTAAATTTTATATATGGCTGTAAATATTGTAGATATAAATGCTCTGGTAAAATTTTTAGAAATTATTTATTAGTCTGATTTGAGTACACTGAACCAGGCTCATTCATCTTCTAGGGAAGGTTCATGCAGTTAATATTCTTTATTAGTGTGATAGTCATACGCAGCTCATTATTTAGTCCAGATAATAAACTTGATGAAATTAGCCTAAAGTCAATTATTTTATGCCCTTGAACCATTCACAAAGTAGTAATTAGAGTCATACTTTGGGAAATATTACTTTTAGTAAATTTATAAATCTTTGGCTTCTTGGAGTTCTTTTCAAGGATTTAAAAATATCCTATCAGTGTCCAGTAAAAGTACTGCTTTAGTGAAGTGTGAAAGTTCTGTTAAAATTATAGTGTCAATTCTTATAAAATTAATTATGAGCACATCAAAAAAGCAATACATATTTGAATTGAATAGATAGAACATTCAATTAAAGAATATAGGCTTTTCAGTATATTAACAGATATAGTGTTAAAAAGAAACCATTACATGTCACATATTATTTTACACTAAGAAATTTATATAATCCATGGAGCACAGTGGTATATACCTCTAATCTCAGCAGTTTGAGAGGCTAAGGCAGGAGGATCACAAGTTCAAAGTCAGCCTGAGCAACTTAGCCAGGCCCTATTTAAAAAAAATAAATAAATAAGGACTGTAAAAGTAGCTCAGTGATTAAGCACTTCTGGGTTCAGTCACTGGTACTAGTACCACACACAAAAAAAAGAAAGAGAGAGAGAGAGAATATGAAGGAAGGAAGAAAATTATATAAACTGAACACAAAAAGAACAAAGGACATAAATGGAAACTTTACAAAAGAAGAAGAAATAAAATACCTAACAAACATAAAACTCTCAGTTGCTTATATTCTATATTTCCATTTCCTCATCTGATAAATGCTCCTTAAGCCACTCAAATCTCATTTCTTTTCTTCTCTACCTGAAGAGTAACATTATCAAAGCTAGGGAATATCTCAGTTATTGACTTTTTTCACCTGGCTGTACTCCTCCCAGGCAGCTTCTGCCTAGAAGTCCCTTCTCTGGCTTCCAATTTTTCTAATCTCCTCTTTCCTCCCTAGCCTTCTTCTCATGATTATATTTCTGAGTCTCTACCTGCATATAGTAATTAAACACATAGGTTGCTCAATGCTAAATTCTCTGTATGATTTTCTTCTTACTTTTATTTTCTGTGCCCAAGTAATTTCATCCACATCTGAAGCTTCATTTATCCCATTTGAATGAAGAGCTTTTTTTTTTTAATCTAATTGTTTTTCTGGGTTATAGGTGGCATATAAGGGCCCACAGAATGAAAATACAAATATATATGAGCCAAAAATTAAGACAAGGCAAGATGTATAAACATATATACATATGGGAAATATTACTTTTAGTAAAATTATAAATCTTTGGCTGAATAAGATATTAATATATGTAGAATAAGATATTAATATATATCTTTTTATATAAATAAAACGATGTCTAGGACAAAAGGGTAACACACATTCAGTTCAAAGAGGTCCTAATATCTTATGAAGTTTGAATTTGAA